TGTGTGTGTGTGTGTGTGTGTGTTTTGTTGCGATACATGTTTATTACTCATGCTTACAGGTTCCCTCAGAAGCACTCGTCGCGGGGGTGCAAAGGTGTTTTGAAACTACAGTTATTTTCGGCGTTAATTCTTACCGTAGCGGCAAGCCTAAAATCGGGAAAAAGTATCCTTATTTGACCTTAAATATATCTTCAGGTGTGCTCCAATGGGCGTGGAATTGTGAGTACAGTCGAAACATACCCTGTAGAACGTCGTGTGGTTCGTACGCTATTTGATGGTGATGTTCGTGCGTTCCTGTACCGGGGGGGGGGAGGGATGCACAGGTTTTGACCGAAAACCCGGGGACGCGGTGGTTCTGTCCCCGGGGTGGCTTTTTTTTTTTTTTTGTTCTTAACATGTTTGTCACTCATGTTTAAAGATCCCCTCCAAAGGTTGTGTCGTGGGGATGAATGAGTATTCCTCTATGGTGGATACAGTTTGGCGGTGTTCGGCGTGAATTCTTACCATCAGCGGCATGCTACATCAGGAAAAAGTACCCATATTTGACCGAGCACCATTTTACGTAGACAACTCGTTTCGCCGTGTTTTTTTTTTCTCGAGTCGTCTACTGACTGCAATAACACATTCATGCACCAAACTGGTTGTTCTGCCTCGTTTCGAACTCGCAGAGCACGCAAGACAGGTCACGGAGGGAAAAACCCATCCCTACCCTTGGTGTCGAAAACCCGGGGATACGTCATTTTCATCCCCGGGTGTCGTTCATTTTTTTTTTTTCGTATTTTTTCTTCATTCCTACTGTATTTTACGCGTGCCCACTAAATCTTGGGTCTTGAAACGCTTTGAAACGTACGAAATCAACCAATGATTAAAGTGGCCTTTAATACCCCCAGGGGTAATTTTCTCTCAAAATGGCGCTTGCAGCTCAGGCCTACGGCCCCAGCCTTACCTCGTCACTGTAGACGATTTTAGATAGGCGGGGGGTGATCTTACCTATCGCTCGATACCACAATATCATCGAAATTCGTTTTCCTGCTCAAGAACGAGCTCTTTGCACAGGGGGTAGCTTAAGTGGCCTTTAATACCCGCCGCTACTCTAAACTTCAACAACTCTAGACTTGACTTGTAAACTCCGGCGTGCGCATCATACTGAGACCCTCTCCGTCATCCACTTTACATTCCGCAAGAAACAAGTTGACATCCTAGTCACCAGGGCACCAGGTCGAGACTCTTACAGCCGGTGGAGACTGAGGCGGAGTTTAGACCACGATGTTCGCTATTCGCAGACAGCTCGTCGGGGTACTCTTTCGCTGAGAATACATGATGAAGAGTTATCATTGTCAGAAGATAAGACTTCGATTCAAACTTGGGAAGCTTTGGTACCTCTCGAAGGTTTCACCTCACGAAGTTAGCACTTTGTGCCGGTAGGGTTGCACGAATTAGGCACGTTGTATCGTCGAGAAACTGTACGTGTACTCTATGCATCGGGAGATTAACCTTCACCATGCTATCTGCATTGTATGCACTTGTCTTGTGTGTCGCAAGTTGCCAAGTCGTGTATGTGGGCAGCGGGGGAATAAATAAAACCATTCAACAGGTCCGTCCCTCCTCCCCACTCTGTGTAAGTGCTCATCAGAGAGACCCCCATTTTCCTTCCAACTTTCGCTGTCCATGTCCGCAGACCAAGTCTGGCTGTGGCCGTGTCGCTCCGTTCCTGTTGTTTGATTGTTGCCGTGTTGACTGCCACTGCCCGGCTCTGTCCAGTCAGCCAGAACGAACGGAGGCACCATGCGTGATGGGAAGGGTGAAAACGAGTTCCGTGTCGTGGTGAGTGGTAAGTTTGAGTGTTCTCGTGAGTGCGTTGGTTGTCAGAAGGAGACACCCTCGTCTCGGTCGTGATACATGAGGGTCATATGCGGCCCGCGGCGCCCCTGCTGCTGTCTAGCGACGGCACGTGTGCGGCCAAAAAACATGCGATGGCCACCCTCTCCGCCTCTCCGAACACTAGAGTACAGCAGTGCCACCCTCTCCCTTGCGTCGTTTCCTTTTGTTTTCGTGCTCAAGATGCCGTGAGCTACACAGCAGTCGGCACATTCGCGCCCTCTCGCGCGCGGCCATGATTTGAATTTTAAATTGAATACCGTATATGACACAAGATAACTTACCCCCTTGACCATTTTCGAAGCTCGATTTCTCAACTGCAGGAACAGTCACAGAGCCGAAAACGGCGGCGTTGAAATCGTGTCGTCGATAGCTTTTCGAAAATGTATCATTTCGTTTATGTATCCTCTTCGTCGTGGAGTAATCGAGCTTTGAAAATCGGTCCAGGGGGTGTGTTATCTTGTGTCATGTACTGTAGTCTAGATGAAAGTCGCTTGAAGTTTATGTTGCTCGGGGAATCATCACAGCACTACTGTAGTAAGTGCCTCCGCTAACGCTAGGTTTCGTTGTTGCTCTATCCCGGGCCCTCGTCTGTGGGTAGAGGTTGATTCGTTGTGTTGCAAGGAACGGGGTGTGAACAAGCTGGTGTCAGATGTAGCGTGCAGTCTGCAAGATCCGGCGAATTGTGTGACTCTTCGGCAAGATGGGTAGGATGCGTAGACTAGTTTGGACCGTTATGCATTTTGCGCTGTCAGTAAACCAAATGATCAAGGAAGGCTTGAAGTCCTATTTGAAAGGGCCCACCGGACTCAGGTAAATACGTGGTTATCCTCGCACACGTGGTACTGCTGCCAATTGTAAAACACCCGAAAGAGACATGCACAGCAAGTAGCCTACTTGATGTCATGAGCTGTGTTGTAATACGAAAATAAAAAAAGAAACAGGTATTCATTGCTGCGATCAAGCTGGTACAAACTACTGCTGTAGGTAGGGCAGGGTAATGAGCCGCTGGGTAGCCGACTCAATACCTTGCGGTAGTTTATGTATCTGCGATGCTTTAGGGTGGATCATGTTGACTATTGAATATTAAATAGTAGTCATCAACAACAAAAACAAAAGCAGGCTCCTAGAACGAACGGCAGTTGGCGTGTGCATACCATCGGTACCGTAGGTGACTAATGTAGGTGACGCCAAAAATAATACCATACCCCCCGGGACCAATTTCAAAGATCGGTTTCTCCACAACGCAGAGAGTGGCGGTGCCGATAACGATGATGCGATTGGGAACCGTCTCGTCGAGAGCTTTCCGACAACGTCTCGCAGGGTGTTGTGTGCGTGGTTTCGTCCTATTCATTATGGCGACAGCAGTTCCCCCGTTTTTCGTGGTGACAAGTGTGTGCCTAGTCTAGACTACACGTGTTTCGTGTGTTTGATGAGTACCACTGACACTTTTCTGTGTAGTTCTTCGCACAACTACAACCATCCAGGGTCACACAGGAGGGGGTAAACACCTGGGCTTTTTTCTTCTTTGTCTTTTTCTTTTTCTTTTCATGCCCCACCTTCCTCCTGCGGTGCGTGCTGAATTTTATTTTGTATNTTCGCACAACTACAACCATCCAGGGTCACACAGGAGGGGGTAAACACCTGGGCTTTTTTCTTCTTTGTCTTTTTCTTTTTCTTTTCATGCCCCACCTTCCTCCTGCGGTGCGTGCTGAATTTTATTTTGTATCGAGAAGGGTCCAGCCGTCCCTTTCCCTCGTCAACGGTGCTAACTTCGAAGTTTTGGCACTCACGAGCTTTTCAGGTTGATCGCTTTCATCCGCAAATTTGTAGATTTTCACCCCATGGGGAATCGAGCTCACAGGGGAATCGAACTCACGACTTCGCGACTCGCGGTTTCGAGGGCACCACTTGACCACCGGGGCGAGTACTCGAGCTTCAAAACTCGGTACAGGGGGTTTGATATCTTGTGTCACGTACGGTAGAAGTCATACATACGTTCCTACGGCGTCGGGAGTGCCGAGGGGGGAGGGCTTGGCCCTTGTGGTTGCAGGTGGCAAGGAATTAGGAACAAGGGGGTAGCAGTGTCGGGGGTCCGCGGGAACATGGGCTTGAGTTGGGGGTGCCTCAGATAGAGCAAGACGGCGGGTGTTTCTCTCTTGGTGTGACCGGTGGCAGTATCGATCAGCAATGCCGCACAAACTTTTGCGCGGCGAAATATGCGTGCGACAGCTTTATCCTAACCACTTCGGTGGAAAGCGGATTTCTGTTCGATACGGTGTCGCGAGTGCCGAGGGGGGAGGGCTTGGCCCTTGTGGTTGCAGGTGGCAAGGAAGTAAAGTTGCTCCTTCTGAGGCACCCCCCACTCAAGCCCATGTTCCCCCAGACCCCCGACACTGCCAAACCTTGTTCCCACTTCCTTACCACCTGCAACCACAAGGGCCAAGCCCTCCCCCCTTCAGCACTCCCGACACCGTATCGAACAGAAATCCGCTTTCCACCGAAGTGGTTAGGTTAAAGCTGTCGCACCCATATTTCGGCGCACAAACGTCTTTGCGGCATTGCTGATCGATACTGCCACCGGTCACACCAAGAGAGAAACACCCGCCGTCTTGCTCTATCTGAGGCACCCCAAACTNCTTCCTTGCCACCTGCAACCACAAGGGCCAAGCCCTCCCCCCTCGGCACTCCCGACACCGTATCGAACAGAAATCCGCTTTCCACCGAAGTGGTTAGGATAAAGCTGTCGCACGCATATTTCGGCGCGCGAAAGTCTGTGCGGCATTGCTGATCGATACTGCCACCGGTCACACCAAGAGAGAAACACCCGCCGTCTTGCTCTTTCTGAGGTACCCCGCACTCAAGCCCATGTTCCCCCAGACCCTCGACACTGCCGCTCTATGTTCCTACTTCCTTGCCACCGGCAACCACAAGGGCTTTTTTCTGTTTACGGCGGTTTCCCTGCACAGCGTGACGCAGCAGCAGTTGTACAGCTATTCTCCGCGAGCTGTTGTGTATGCAACGCCTTGTGTGGCGGCTGATATGTAGAGGACACGGGGCCATAGTGGACCCACGGAATCTGAGGTGGCGAGAGTCGGCAAAATGCATGTATGCGAGAAAAACCACCCGCCGCAAAAAAAATGGGAGTTTTTGGCACTGCATTTTTCCAGGTGACCCTTCCCCAAACACCGAAGCAGCATTGGAAATGGCGTCCGCCACGAGCTGTGTGTATGGCTCCCTTTCCCGCCAGCGCTGTCTTGCCCCTCCCAGCGATGTTGCGTGTTTAGCGGAGTGCTTCCTCTATTCCAACTGCGTGACTGCGTGTGCGTGGGTGGGAGATCTCCGAGTTTTTTTCCTCCACTACCTTGACAAGTCCAGGGGATGGGGGTGAGTGTCTCCTATAGTTTTTGCGTACAAATGCCAGTTAAGCACGGCGTACCTGCTGTCGGGCCACGACCAAACCGGTGTGAAAGAGCGCCCTGTGTTACTTCTTCGTCGCAAGCCAGCAGATCGTCGATCGATTCTCCATAGACTTCTTGCTGATCGAAAAGGAGGCAAATTTCAAGCGATCTCTTTTAGAAACTTGGGCCTCTGGTAGATGGAGCCTTTTTCCCTCCTGGGACAGAGGGAAAAGAACGGTCGCGCTTGGCGCCCCGCGGCTCATTGATACATCATCTGCATCGGGATAAAACAGACTCGAAGTAAGAAATAAGCCCAGTACCCAGCCGGTTCCCTCCACTCATTGCAAAGACTCCAACACATCTCCTTCGACTGTGGTTGTATCTCTAACGGGAAATCTTTCTGTGTTTGTGTTCATTTTTCCTAATGAATCAAGGGCGCACGAAAATAGCCCATAATCATGTCGGTACCCCCCGGGCGTGCGAACGTGAAAAACAGTTACATTTTCTTTTTTCTACTATTTTATTCATGTGATACAACGAATCCGTCTCTATCCATAGAAAATAGTCTAAAAGAAACCCATCGTCTGCTTGTTTCAATACTGTAGTGCACGAAATCGATCGACTTGACGCATTGACGACTCCAGCTCGAATACAGAAAACAGTACTCATCACGAATGATAACACGCTATTTATGGCACCTACAATGCCCTGTTGATCTGGCATGCTGTGTTGAGGGCTGGTCAGAGAATGAACAGTTGCAAGTCTCCAGCGATTGTTGTCGGTTATACTGTTCTTTTTCGCACCGTTCCAACACCTGTTCCTCACCACCCCCTTCTGCACATGAGCGAAAGGAGTGTGCAGCGGCACAACATCGACGGGTAGTTACGTGTATGCGACCAACCCAACGGCTTGCATGTCGGAGAGCTTGGAGCCCTTTCGCTGAGCGATACTGGGAACTTGTGTCGTTCAAATAGCACGCCGAGCGGCACGTTTGTTCCAAGACTGTGTTGAAACAAGCACAACCTCTCCTTTCCAGATCTTTTGATTGTCACCCGAGCCCTAACACCGTGAAGCGGTAGCGATGCCGAGAGTGGGGATCACGGAGACAGCCGAACCCCAAGGAAAAACCAATTCAGAGATCTTCGTGTTGCTGCTACCCCTGATCAAGTGCGTTTTTGTCCCGGAATGTACGTGAGGCGACAAGCTGCGTCCGTTAGTGGTGGCTACAGGGAACACGAGAACAGCACACCCCAGCTTGGTTAGATGAAGAACGGACGACTCGCAGCGGTTTGTCTTGCCGGCCTAGCCTTGTAATATGGTGGGAAGTGACTTCAACACGTGTTGCTAGCGTTCTGGGTGGCGATACAGCACTCTCACTGTTCTGCCTGATCCTCCGATCTCGGAAAGCCTGAATTGAGTAGCAGTTTTTTTCGGCGAACGTTCTTCTCAGGCTTCTGTGATAAGGAGCCTCCTTGCCCTCACTTGCAGGTTTCGGAATGCTATTCTTTTGGGTTCGCTGGAGATATGTTCCCCTTGGTTTGTAGGCCTTACGCCTACGTTGTCTCTGCGTGTCATTTTTCTCATCTCTTGGTATCTACAGGTGGGCGGCCAGAAGCTCGAAGAGATCAGCCACAAGGACGGCAATACGTACATCCAGATGATACTCTTGTAAGATCACTTTGGCGTGTGCTGCTACAGTACAGTAGTGAGTGCTTTGAGCGTGTATGGGTGTTGTGGTAGGCATGTTGGAATCGTTTTTTTTTTTTGACACACAGTAGGCGATACTCCAAGGCACTGCGCATATGTTGCCTGTGCCTCTGATATCTTTTCATCCATCCCAGCATATATTCCAGGCATTGATGGAGCCCAGCGTAGTGACAGGTAGGTCAAAGGAAGCTTGTGTTTAGGCAAGACAACACAGCCGTGGCGAGGAAATGCTCGAGGCTGAGGTGGAGGTGCTCATATTGCACGTCGCAATTTTTGTCCTCCGCTTAGTGCAAGGGGTTCGTGAAAGTGAAACACTCGACAGCCGAGGGATCCTGCGGCGAAATCCCTGCGGCTCTGCGTGTAGATATGAGCGACACGCGCACGCATTGGCATTCTTACCAGAGCACGTAGGCGACCAGTCACTTCTCGACAGCTTCCCGACAGGGTGCCGCACACTCACCACACAACCTTCCCTCTGCCAACAAGAATGAGCCACCCCCTCTCTGCTCCGCCTCGAAAGCGATGATGCATAATCTCATTGAAACGCAACCCGGCGTTGGCACCCCCTTCCTGTTCTCCATGAAGCTCCAAGGTTTCCTACAGCGTCGAGTACACGGAAGAGGTCAAGGGGCTCGGCGCTGTGGAGCGCAACACTCAAAAGTGGCCCGTGGTGAGGACCATCGGAGGTAGCCATACTGACCCATCGTTCACGAACAATGCATTATTGGCTGATGCGTACGTTTCAGCCAAACCGCTGACTCCCCCCCATCGTTCAGGCTACTGCTGTGAAGGACGTGGCGTAGTACTCGTCTTTATGACCATCAACGGCGGCGTTTTTTCTGAAGGCTCGATCATCCTCTGCACACCTTGCGAGCGCGCTACCATGTTTTTGTGCCTGGGGTTCTGCGCGCGTGTATGCCTACTAACCGGCGTGGAGCACCTTGCACGCTGTCCTCAACAACGTCGAAACAGAGTCCGTACACGGTGGCCGTGAGGAACAACTCCGGCAAAGGAAACTTCGCACAGCTATACGTCGACGGCCAGAAGGTCAGTGGAGTACTACTTCCATCTGTGTGGCATGGGATTCTGCCTCTTGAAGCGCGTGGCGCCGTGGTAGTAAACATGCTGTGGGTGGCGTCTCTCGCCCGGTCGCACGCACACAAGCTGTCCAGCAAGCTCTCGTTTTCGGTCACGGGCACTGTGTTGTTGCGGCGACCAATCCGCGATTGTCTGAGCTGGCGATGAAAGAACGACCTACAGCGCGGTGTCTGCCTTTGGTTTCGTTCGTGTGCGAAGTACGCGCTCGTTGTCTTTGGGTTAGAGGGACTGGCAACGGGCGCTGACACAACTGCGGTGAGTGTCGCTTCGCCCGGAGGCGGGGGAAGTTGTACCCCCAGGCAATCCCTTGTATTTCAGCGCTCCAGACACCCCTCGAAACGAAAAATTATATTCCCCAACATTGAAATGGTAGGGAAACGACGTACAAGCCCCCTCCCCAAATCCTGAACCACTTCGAATGCCATCTAGGGTTTTCCGGAGTCACCGCTAGCGATTGACACTAGCTCGCGTCTCTTGCTCTTCTCCGAATCCGTCTACGCGCACCAGATCGCGGAAAAGTATGTACCCGCCGGCGACAGCGTCATTTTTGAGGGAATCCCTACTGAAGAGGGTATCCAAGAGCTGCTGTTTTCCCTACCCAGGTGTGTAGCAACCCTATGTGAATGAAATGCACGCCCGATTTGCGCCCACATTGCGGTTCTTAAATGTTTTTTCGGTACGACGACGGTTTGTTCAGGATGAGCACGGTCAAGGGCTTGAAGTCTATGTGCGCCGAGATAGCGCGCAGACAGGGGGTGCGACGACTGCTTCAGCGACACGAGCGTTCAGCAGTGGGTGCCGTTTTTATTTTTCTGATGCTGTGTGGCGAAGGCCAGGCACCTGCGCAATTGCCCCGCCTGTTATGTCGCTACACATTCATGGGTGACGTCGACGCCATTTTTTGTTTTTGGGAGTTTCCCTCCTTGGCCGGTATGGCGTTACGGCGAGAAAGGCGTCCGTGGGCCCGCCGATCCCACAGCGTCTCCGTGAGCTCGAACAACTTTAGATGGACCACCAAAGACCACTCAATCGTGATAGATTTGTTTGCTTGCCCTTATATTTACTGTGCACTACTCACGTGGTCCACTCGCTGCAGAAACGAGAAGGTGGACGATGCGATACCACGATGATGAACACGCCATGTTGGAAGGCACGGCGGTTGAAGTAGTCGCGAACAGAGTTTGGCCTGCCTCTGTTCTCAATTGCTTGAGTTCTTTATTTTCTGCCTCTCCGCGCGGAAGGTACACCACCCTGAGGGAAAAGGAAATCGGTGGAAAGTCGCTGCCGGACGCAGTAGCGAGCGAGCTCGGGACGATAAAGGTCGTGTGGCGCGACTGCGCCTTGGTCGGCAAAGAGTGAGTGGTTTGTCCTGTTGTTTAGGTTGCTTGTATCGTCAAGCACACCCACAACGGCGCAGATGGCGACGGTGTACAGACTACAAGGAGAGCGACAGACCTGTTTTGCTTTTCAAGCTGGCAATTTGTGGAGTTTCCTCTGCTCTCGTGAATTGTGAGAGGCAGGAAGTAGCATCCGCCCTTCCCTCTTATCCGGTGTGTTGTCAGTGTCGAAAAATACAGCGGGGGATACGGAGGCCACCGGTGCTGGACCCAAATGGTATCTCCGGTAGCCAACCTGGCCTGTTGGGTGTTGTGCAGAGCAATCCCGGACCAGCTCTCCCTCTCCTTTGAAGCTAGACGTGCGGTACCGACAACATTGTGTAGCTTGTGTGCGGAAACGACGGCGGCTGGCTTGGTTTTGTCTCCGAATGGCGATGTTGCGGAAGTTGGAACAGCTCCCCTCATCGCCCATAACAAAGGCGTAGGTTCGAACGGTGCCAAGCAAGAGTGCACCTAAAGCAAGCGAACCCCACACCACGGTAGGGCCGAGCTACGATGAATCAACCATGCGTCCGTTCGAGGGTGTGTTGCCTCCTCTCTATCTCTTTCTGCCGCTTCTTGACCATCGGCAAACGATTCTCTTTCTCTATGTAGTGTCGCCAATATCCCTGCGTGTCTGTGTCGCCGACGAGTTTACCTTTCGTGGGTACGGAAGTAGTTTACCGCTACCTTCATTCTCTGCGCTGTTGTGCCTGTCTTTCTCCCCACCCCGCCCACCCCCCCGTCTCTCCCTCCCTCTCGCAGTTTCGCGGACAACTACCGAACGTACGAAGCGGCGAGCTCCTACAAGCAGGCCAACAAGACCGACGCCAAACGCACTGGAGGTGCAGGGGCGGGAGCCGGGGAGGGAGAGAAGTTCGCATCGACCACAAGGTTAGCGACGTAACGAACATATGGGGTGCCCACTTTTCCCGCTTCCTCCCGTACGCATCGTGGGATAATGGAGGAAGAGCTTCGTTAGGCGTGGGTACTTTTCCTCTCCGATGGCGACGACCATGGTGGCGGATGTTGTGTTCGTCGTTACGGGGGATACGACACGCTTCTGTTAGGCGTTCCGGGCATAATTATTGTGGTGAATTATTCGGGAATGGCAGGGGTGACCACCACCAGAGGCTTTGCAGAGTACCGCAGATTTTATCACAATGAGTGTGGTATCTTCACAACAAGGATGGTATCTCCCGCCACCACGACCACCATGGCTGTTCGCCACCCCACGTCCCGGGCCACCGCCGTTGCCGCGACCGGAGCCATTCGCGAAGAAAGCACATAGTTGCACGCCCACTGTTGTTATCGTTTGCTTCTTTAGCGTCGACTCTCACGTTACAACATTCCACCCGTAGGAGTCCGCCGCTGTCGCGCATCTCGGGCGACGGTCTCAATGCTCTTCTTATTTTTTCTCCCTTCTATTTTGTTCTTCCTCGAACAGGGCGGGCAAGGTGATCGGGATGAACGAGGCGAGATCCTGTGTCGTGAACAGGTACCGGTACGAAGGGGAGCCGTGGTCGGCGACCCTTCTGTACCGCACCAAAGACTACCTCGAGAAGGTAGGTGTGATACCCAAGGATATGAGCCCGGAGGAAGTCGCGGAGCGGAGGAGGATGAGACTCGCACGGCGCAAGAGGCGCAAGCTGCAGGAAGAGGCGGCGGCGGGGGGGGCCTTCGTTCCCCCGCCAGTCCCGGTGTCTCTGGTGGACGGGCCGCCTCCGGTAGCCGCCGAGGAAGGCGAGGACGAGGGTTGAGATCAGAACCGGGAGACAGACTGGAGGACGCGAGAGCTTGGTTACTTGGTTGGACGCTGAACCGGGACCGATGAATGAGCAGCAGCAGCTGCGGCAGGGATCACAGGCAAGAGCTGTGTAACCAGGACTGCTGAGCAGCGTCAAGAGCCACACCTTCAGCACGAGAGTCAGGAAGATGGTGCTTGATGTTTGAAGTTGAAACAACGCTAGTTGACCTGGAGCACCAGCGGCAGCACCGGGAGAGAGGCAGAGAATATTCGTGGCAATCTTGAGAGAGCCGAAGAGTAATGCAGCGGGAGAATCGAAGAGTAGAGCAAGCGTAGAGCGATGGCGAGATCAATCGGGTGCATGCTACAAGACGAAGTTTTTCAGAGGGCGGGAGAGACACCAACGTCATCCAGCTTCGTCTCCGTTGGTTGCTACGTAGGTCGCATCCTGCACCCACCACTTGCCGCCACATCCCGCCGGGAAACGAGGAAGAAAGCAGATTGGGGGACGGCAGGAGACGGGACGTGATGCCTGATACCCAGCGAGGCTTGTAGCCTTTTCGACGTTGTGGGGCGGCGCCGAGCTTTGTCTAGTTATTGCTGTCCGGAAACTCTTGGTTTTGGTACGATTTACCTTGTCCGTTGGCGTGAAGTTGGACCTCGTTTCTCTCTCCAGGTTTCTCGACTTGCAGTGTACCAGAGGACACGCGGGGCATTATTCTCCCCTATCCTCGAATTCGGAGAGAATGCTCTTGGTTTTCGTCTGATCGCGTCTTGACCTTGAGTCTGGCGCCCTCCGCACCTTAATAGCTCTTCTCTCCTGGCGAAGAGGTTCGTGTGGGCCGGATAAGAGACCAATCTGTTCGAGTCACGCAAGCAAGCTCTTCTGGCCAGGCGCCGAGCTTCGCGCGTGCTCGACGAGTAGAGGCAAGACTGGGGTGTTTTCTTCGCTCACCTTATGTGGTCGACGCCTCTATACTCCCGCTGCGTGTCGTTCACGGTGGTAGTCACTAATCGTAGCGTTCATGGCATCTACACACTACTTGGCTTTGGAAGGGGACACGTAGTGTGGTTGGTGCAGCCTACCCTTCCCGATAGCCACGACCCGGTTCGGAATACCGAGAGTTTTCCGCACATATTTCGTGTCGTTCTTGCTGAAATCGTGCGAAAACTATATCTCGCCTGTTGGGATAGGGGTTGTCGTAGGACGGTCTTGTCGTTTTGTTTAGCTATTAGCTAGCTCCAGGTCGTTTGATTGTCAACGGTTTGGGTTATTTTTCTGTACTTCAAAAAAGTAGTTGTCACCCAGCAACGTGTGTGTATGGGAGCGCCCCTCGTAGACTTGATAGGTGACCGCCAAGTGTCTCGTCTGCCGCTTGCACCTTCTCCAGTCTCGGTTCGAAGGAGGCGGCGCCACGGCAACCCTTTCGGTCAGTCCGGAGCCGTATGTATTTTTATTGTTAGCATCGACCGCGTTATGTATGCCGAATGTGTGTGTGTGTCGTCTAGCATTATGATTTGAACTCATGACACCTAGATAGACCATTTCGCCCCCCCTCGTAGTCTGAGAGTCCCCGTCATTGCGACGCCAACAGAGGACGATCGTGCCACGAAAGCCGATGAAGTTAGTGTTTGTGCCAAAATAGCGTCACCAAGTGTTCTTCGTGTACGTATCTGTTCTGCACGTGTCGGGAAGGTGGTATCGTGCGATTTGATTGCCTTCGTCGCCACCCGTTCGATTTGCAGCTTGGTTGCTGCATCTGTGTCGTGAGTGTTACAACAGCGAAACGCTACGTAGCCCTCTGTGCATGCTTCGAATTTTCGTTTCGGGCGTTATTTTACCATTCACCTCGTTAACTTATATCAGCATCTGCCTCGTGTGTTGTGGTTTTATTTGCATAGGGAATAACACATAAAGTATAGGGCTTGGCTACGAGAGGGTTGGATGCGGGTTGCGTACAACGCGTCCATTTGAAGTAATGTTAAGCGTCTTTCCCATCTTCCCTTCAAATCAGCGCTCACAGCACTTTTACCGTATACTCCAACGTGGTCACACAGTGGAGCTGTAGAGGGAGCCAAATCAGATGGAACTGTAGTTCCTGCACGGAACACTACCATTAGCTGCGCCCCAAGTTGTTGAAATCGCAGTACGCCCGTTGGCACTTGTCTCTTCCAACAACCAAAACCGCTCAAAAGAACGCTTAGAGGCAAGGAAAACCAAAGAGCGTACCCATGCCTATGTAGCACGCGCTCGTCGCCGCCTCGCGCTGCAAGTCAGCCCGCTGAGGCCCTACGCCCACGGTTGCGACGAGAGCGACCTTCGATCTTTGCCTGCGCCAAAAAATACTGCTGTTCCTTCTCCGGTACGACGGTGTACTCGCTTCGGATACGGTGACGGATCTCGGATACGGTGACGGACCCGCGCCAGCGAGTGCTAGGGGTATGAATGGAGGGACATATCATTTCATTGTGACCTCAACCCACGCAGGAGGGCGATGAGGTGAGATCTCGCTTGTTGCTGTCCCACAGCACGAGCAACAGATTCTAGCTTCATGCGTGATCTGTTGCACTGATTGGTTGTGCGGAACGCTTGCATCCGATGAGGTGGCTGATACATTTGTAGTCCTTCGCCTGCGGGCTCGTAAAGAACCTAATTTCCCCTCCTCCTGACTTTCTCTGGCGGCCAAGCCGGGGGCATCTGACTACCAGTGCGCGCTGTGCGCTGCACAGGTGGTGTCGAGCGTCGAGCCGTGTGTGGTGCATGTTTTCGGCCGAACACGGGATAGTTTGGGAAAATTCAGGTATTTCGGATCCCCGAGCTTCCAACCTTGGGCCTTGCACGTTACGATCAACAGTATTCCTGTATCTCCATAGCCCGCCTTCTGGATCCATAGAGCAGTCGCCTGTAGGCTCTACGTTATCACGGGGGTGTTATCCGGGCTTCGCGACCTGGCTCCACAGGTGGACGCTACCCCCCCCTTTGGCAAGGTCCCACAACGTCCAAGGG